CCAATATGGCTATGGCCAGACCTGACTTTCTTACTTCAATACCAACTTTACTCATAAGCGCTGTCTTTTAAGATATACTTATACCACCTGCTTACACCACCTGAACCTTTCTGTTCAACTATGGTTTGGGTGTTTGTAAGACCATTTTTACTTTCCAAATCCTTTCTTATCCAAAGGAAACCATTTATTTTTTTGTTGTTTCCCAAGGCCTTTTTTTCTTTTAACTTTTCTCCTTTTTTTACATTTACTTTCTATTTTTTCCCTAATTTATGCTTTGTATTAACTCGGACACATTTACTTGCACCCACATCTGATGAGCTTCTTTGTGGTTTGAGTTTGGAATTACCTGCTTTTTTCCTTGGTCTGCCCCAATCCATTAACTGTGACTCCACCCACAGTCAAGCTGCAGGGGGCAGAGTAGTTTGCTATAATAGGCTCCTATCACAGCTTCCATTGATAAAGATCTTCTAGCAAGCATTATACTTGGTAGTTAACCTAACACAAGGCTTACATTAGTTACAATTGTAGTCAAAAAGCAAGTAATTTTGACACCATGATGACAGTTTTTACATGTTACAAGATTACTTTGAACACGTTTACACACACATTTGTGCACAAGCTTTAAGGCATGCTTAGATTTTTGAAAAAAGAAAATCGGCCATGTAAGTTCTCTCTCCAGCAGCAAAATGACATTATTTTGCCTAATATGATGGAACCACGTGGCCAGTTAGAAAAAACAAAACACTTTGCCAACAAACAAAAATTGTCACAGATTACCCAAACCTAGCCAGCCAAGAAAGTTATACAGCAAGAAAACAGAGAGCCACATTGTAAGAGGTTGAATCTTGGAGACTTTATTAAAAGGTCAGCAACTGCATGGTGGACTCCTGTCTCAAAGACCAGCAGCCATCAAAAACATTTAATATTGTTAGGAAATTGAGCCATGAAGGCCAGAGAGGAAAGAAAGAATAAAAACAACAAACCAATTTGGCTCCAATGGAGAGCTGAAATGGGATGCCATGGTGATCAGAGAAGATCCAGGAGATGGAACATGAACATAGAGACATTGTGGCATGGCATAAATAGCATCTGAGCTGATCCAGGCCTAAATGGGGTCAGATCATGGGGCAGAGTCACAGGAAACTCCCAGTCCCAAGCACTGGAGTGCCAGGTTTAGTAGCCTACCATGCAAGTCCTCAGCCCTGTCTCCAGGGATTCAGGTAAGAGGTGGGGCTTAGCAAGACACTTTGACCTTTGAATAATTGAAACATCAGGCATGATGCAAAATGGCAGCTGAGCTGCTTGGGGCACAGAGTTCAGGGGGTAGGGTTACAGGAATCTGGAGTTTATGGAATCTCCTGAGCTCACAGTCTAGTCCAGTAACCTATTATTATATCCCTACCCCTGTCTCTAGGAATTCAGGCACACCTATCATCTGGGAGGGGGTGTGGGACTCCACTTCCAAGAGTTTTTGGAGGGCTGGGAAGGTGGCTCAGTGGTAGAGCGCTTGTCTTGCATGCATGAGGCTCTGGGTTCGATTCCTCAGCACCACATAAGCAAAAAGAAAAAAGCCAGAAGTGGTGCTGTGGCTCAAGTGGTAGAGCGCTAGCCTTAAGCTGAAGAGCTGAGGGACAGCGCCCAGGCCCATAGTTCGGGCCCCACGACCGGACCAAAACAAACAAACAACAAAATGACCAAGAGTTTTTGGAAATTTACCATGTTGCTGAAGTGGTATCTGTTAAACCCAATTCTCTATTATCCACCATGGTCAATGCTAGAAAAACTTAAGATTTAGCCAACAACAAGCAGAATTTAACATAATCTCCATGCTTAAACAAATAATTGATAACAAGAACAGAAAACCTTCCTTTATCTCTAGGACCAGTAGAGAGAAGTTACAAGACAAAGAAAGTTGCTATACCTTTGGAAGCTTGTACCCACCCCTCCCTGTATCAACCACACAGGGAGGCAGGCACAGAGGAGTTTAAGACTGGATGGCTAGCCTTGAGAGGGAACCCCACCTGTGTAGAGAGGAAGAGAGAGAGACAGGAGGGAGGGGTGTGCAGAGGCAAACTTTTCCATTTGCTTGAATGCTCACAAAAATTATGTTAAGTCCTTTAAAATATTGGGGGTCTAGAATCTCATGGAGGAGCCACATGGAGTTATTGTCCAGTGAATTGGGGCCAAATTTGACAGCATAAGCATACGTTTATGAGGCTTAAGATTGGGCTCAAACTTGAGTGGTTTTAGATTGTGTTCTGAAGAATGTTAGACTGTGTCCACCTGAAAGGATCCATCACATCTACCTATGCTGAGGCAGGCAGGCACAGGAGAAAGATTATTACAAGGTTTATTAGAGGAGCCATATTTCCCCCTGGAGAAAAGCACATTGTGGCCTCCACTATCTAGGTAGCTGCAAGGTCTGAGAGGTAGGAAGTGAGGTAGATGGGAGTTTAGGTGGGTCTGTGGGGAGAGAGGGAGGGGCCAGCTGTTTGGTGAGAACTCCAGGACAGGGAGGAGTTCAGGTCTGGGTGGAGCTGAGGATCAAAGGTGGGCCTAAAGCTTACACCACCCGTGATGAGTGATCAACAGAGCTGAAGCTAGAGCTACCGTGAGTGTCCTCAGTAGCAAGAGGAGTCATCACCTGCAATTGCTGAGTCCCTTGGCCTATCGCCTGGTGGTCTATGGACACTGGAGTAGAACTCAGAATCTTGGTGCCAAGATTTTTCTCTCTGAATTGGACCAGTGGCCTTACGGTAAATGGTCTCCAAACCCCTGGCCTACTGTAATGGTCATTCACCCAGGAAGAGGTGTAAATTGGCTGCTGTTGTGGTGGATGGAAATAAAGCACTCAGTCAGGAGAACGTTACCTCTGCAGTGCTCTGGGTGGGCCTGGGCTAGCACAAGGTCTCTGGGGCAGCTTAAATTTCTAGGAGGGAAGAGCAAACTCATCAGGGAAGCCTTGTCTGAGTCATGGCACCAAATGAAAGCACCCATCCCAGAAGACCACGCAGACAGTCACATATAGGAGAAGGAGATTTATCAGAGGTGCTGTCAAGGCCATCTCCATCATGGGAGGGGGATCAAAAATGGTGCCTGTCCCTATCCAGGGGGATAACATTGGGGCTAGGGATGGGAGGAACACTGTGAGCAAGAAAAATGGTCCCATCCACATTAAATTAAATTAAATTTAGTGGAAGTGCCCTATGACTCAAAGTGGTAAAGCAATAGCTAAGTATGAAAGGGCAGTACCCAGGACCTGAGTCAAGCTCCTTGACCAGCAAAAAGAGTCTTTTGGTTTCATAAATAAATAAAGCAAATTAATCCTGAGTCCTTATCTTAAAAGAAGAGATGAGGGCTGGGAAGGTGGCTCAGTGGTAGAGCACTTGCCTTGCATGCCTGAGGCCCTGGGTTCGATTTCTCAGCACCACATAAGAAAAAAGCCGGAAGTGGCGCTGTGGCTCAAGTGGTAGAGTGCTAGCCTTGAGCTGAAGAGCTGAGGAACAGCGCCCAGGCCCAGAGTTCAGGCCCCACGACCGGACCAAAAAAAAAAAGAAGAGATGAATAGCTCAATGGAGTCCAAAATAGAGCTGGAGTTAGAGAATTCTACTCTGCTTTCTGGAAATGCAGTGTGGAAGGCAACAAGATCCCTGGGAGGAAAGAGCTATGTGGTGCATGGCAATAGTCACTTCTTTGGTGGTCTTAAAGAGTTATTCCTATTTAATACCATTAGGAAAATGAAGGAGAAAGGAGAAGAGGAAACAGGCCAGACTCGATCTTCCACAGGTGAAGGATAGCAATGAAGGACACAACCAGCTCCCGGGAATGGAGGTTGCATAAGGGACTGGATTTGGGGTCCCACTGATAATGGGTCTTGACAAGAAAAGAAAGGAGTAAAAATCAAGCTGTAATTACTCAGGGGCTAGGGATGGATACTTTTGGTTAGGTCCAGAATGGAATGTCCATCCTGGGGTGACTGGAACTTTCCGCCAGGCCTAGGTTGAAATAATCTACCTGCGGACAGGCATGTGGTCAAGCCTGTGCATGTAAACCTGGTGTCTTGCTTGACCTGGGGAAATAAGGAAGGCGTCAGTCCTTCAAACACAAAAGTAGTGAGTAAACTAGCCTCAGAGAAAGAGATGAATAGGTAGTGGATATCTCTCATAGGGAATCTAGTAAGTCAATGTTTAAGGATCAGACCACTTCCTGTGTCCACCTAAACACTTGGTACTATTTGTGGGATGTTGCTGGCAGAGGGCCTCCAAGAAGGACTGGATTCATTTCTCATTAGCCCCATAGGATGGCAATCTGAAATAGAAAAGTAGTTGTTCTGAAAAAAAAAAAAAGTGGTATTTCAGCTGGACGCTGGTGATTCACTTCTGTATACTTAGGTCCTTAGGAGGCTGAGATCTGAAGGTCATGGTTTGAAGCCAGCCAGAGAAGACAAATCCATTGCTTCCAATTACCTAGCAAGAAATGAAGTAGAAGTGTGGTTCAAGTGGTAGAGCACCAGTTTTGAACAAAATAGCTAAGTGAGTGTGAGGCCCTGAGTTCAAGTTCCAGTACCAGCACAAACATAGACACAAAAGGGAAAAACAGCAAAGAAGAAAGGAAGAGAAAAAGAGTGATATTTCTTGGGCATCATGGTTAAGATGCAGGCCTGCAACTTAAAAAAAAAATGTGTAGCCAGAGTTTCATTTGCTTCCTAATTGAATTGAGAGGTTTTTTTTTTTTTTCCTTGAAAAAGAACTTTAGACAACTAAAAATAACCATGAGGAAACAATTTGGTCACTTTTGTAATAGTCCTTTAGATAATAATACATGCTTTCTTGGCATGCCTAACGTGTGAGAAGAGACTCTTAATACTTAGAGGAGTTAGATTCATGAAAGAAGGAAATTCTGAAGAGCAGAGATTTGCCTCAGAGGATAGTATGGCAGTTAAAGACCTCCTTTCCCATCCACATTTTGCCCTTATGCTTAGTATGAAAACATGGACAAAATAACTGCAGTTTTCATTTATTACAGCTCACTTTTTTTCTTGATTTAAAATATTGTTATTATACAGGTGATATACAGATGGGTCACAGGTACATACGTCAGATAATGAGTACATTGCTTTTCACATAATTATGGCTCATTTTTATCTATGGTTCTAATTCAGAACATTTTTCATTTTTTTTCTCATCAGGGAATGAGATTTTATTTTGAGGATGCGTATTCAAAAAAACTTAGCAATGTGTGAAAACTCGCTCTTGAAGTTCCCTGGACACGATTCAGAGGCTAACTGAGGGAAAGGTTGGATCTTGGGCTGTGAGTGACATGTGCAGTTTGAGGGTGAGAAATTGGGGAAATTGGCTTCAGGAGAAGGAAGAACTTCATTGATGTTCAGTGGAGGGAGTCGGTAGACATATCCAATTTGTGGCCGATGAAAAGGAAGGTTTCCTTTACCCTCACTTCTTTCTCCTGAGTGACCGTCTAGTGGGCCATGGCCGTGGCAACGGTGCCCATGGAAACCTTGCCTATGGGGTGGTGGATCACAGGGCTCATGGTCATGGAAATCATCAGAGCCATGAGGATGGTGTCCATGGGGATGGCGTCCATGGGGACCGTGCCTGTGGGGACCATGTCCGTGGGGACCATGTTCATGGGGACCATGTCTGTGGGGACCGTGTCCGTGGGGGTGGTGTCCATGAGGATTTTGTTCATGGAGTTTACTGGAACTCTGATTATGAGGGGGTATATGGGTGTCATTGGTGTCAAAAGGAAAGTGATGACATTTTGACCCTCTAGGTGGCCATGGTGGAGGAGTTCCTTCTTGAAGTGCTGATCCATTTGAGTTATGGTGTTCTTCTGAGGGAGTCAGGTATCCATGTTTATGTGGCCTAGGGGGATGATGATGTTCTCTGGATCCACTGGACTTAAATGAATGTTTGCCAGCATGAGGATGGTTATGCCCACCAAAGTGGTGAGGGTGGCCTGGATGGGGTCCCACATCACTGACATTTGCATGCTCCTGGTAAAGGACAGAGAGGTGAATACCACCATGTAACACAAAAGGAAAAGTCAGATGTTTAGTTTGATTAATCAATGGCTCCTAGACTTTTGGGTTTCACAAGTCAATTTAAAAAGCAAGATACTGGGGCAAGGAATATGGCTTAGTGGTAGAGTGCTTGCCTAGCATGTCCAAGGCCCTGGGTTCAATTCCTTGGTACCACATAAACAATAAGTACAATTAAAAAGTAAGACACCAAACAGGATCACAAGTTTTATCTGCCTAATGTAATATTTCAAATATATTTAAAAAAAACTTTCATTATTTTGCAAGAGGAATAACATTTTGACAAGACTCAGGAAGTTGGTTGGCAATGTGGCTTAGTGGTAGAGCGCTTGCCTTGCATTCATGAAGTCCTAGGTTCTATTCCTCAATACCACATAAACAGAAAAAGCCAGAAGTGGTGCCATGCCTGGCTCAAGGGGTAGAGTACTGGCCTTGAGCAAAAGAAGCTCAGAGACAGTGCCCAGGCTCTGAGTTCAAGCCCCAGGATAGGCAAAAAAAGAGTCAGGAGGTTAATATCAGAATAAAGATTTATCCTTTGGATGGAATATATGTTGCACTATGAATTTTTTTTGGGGGGGTCCAGTCATGGGGCCTGAACTCTGGGCCTGGGCGCTGTCCCTCAGCTCTTCAGCTCAAGGCTAGCGCTCTACCACTTGAGCTACAGTACCACTTCTGGCTTTTTTCTTTTTGCTTATGTGGTGCTGAGGAATCGAATCCAGAACCTCATGCATGCAAGGCAAGCACTCTACCGTTGAGCCACCTTCCCAGCCCCTATGAAAATTTTAATTATGCTGAGTTTTTTTCATTTCAACAAAAGCAGGTGAAATTATAATCTGCAATGATACCTATCTGAAGACTTGCATTTGCTAAACTACTGTCTTATATTGTACATTTCCCATAGAATCCTGAGGCTTACTGATTAAACGTGTGTGTGTGTGTGTGTGTGTGTGTGTGTGTGTGTGTGTGTGTGTGTTTGTGTGCGTGTGTGTGTGTTCTGGGGCTTGAACGAAGGGTCTGGGTACTATGGCTTAGGTTTTCACCCATGACTGCTACTCTACTACTTGAACCACAACTCTGCTTTGTTGCTTTTTTTGGAATAACTAGAGATAAAAATCTCATGGACCTGACTATTAAGTATGATTCTTAGATTTTAGCCTACTGAGTACCTAGAGTTATTGGCATGAGCGACTGGCACTCAGCAACATTCCTTATTGCTAAAAGATGATCTTCTAGAAGAGCCTCTTCTCTCTCCTTATTCAGACTTCAACCTTTTTTTTTTTTGAGATAGAGTCTCCCTATGTAGCCCAGGCTGGTCTCAAACTCACAAGCCTTCTATCTCAGCTTCTTGAGTACTGGCATTATAGGTGTGCATCACCATGCTCAACAGATTTAACTAAAACAAATCTATGTTCATGGTGACAAAGCCTGTCTCTTCTCTTTTTTTCTGATATAAAAAATTGAAGACTATCTTTTGCTCACTTATAAAGTAGCATAAAGATTTCTTGGATAGATGTAAAATATTGGTTTACATCTTATTTTATATAACTTTGCATGATAAATGTGAGGCAAATTCATTCTCTCCAGCTCCAGATCTACTAATGAAAGCTAAGAAGAAATCTTAGCACTGGAGGAGCTGGGAAGGTGGCTCAGTGGTAGAGTGCTTGCCTTGCATGCATGAGGACCTGGGTTCGATTCCTCAGCACCACATAAGCAGAAAAGGCTGGAAGTAGTGCTGTGGCTCAAGTGGTAGAGCACTAGTCTTGAGCTGAAGAGCTGAGGGACAGCGCCCAGGCCCAGAGTTCAGGCACCATGACTGGACACCCCCGCCCCCCAAAAAAAAGAAATCTTAGCACTGGAGTTCTGATTACAAGGATAACTTGTAATCAGATAACTAACTTTTCATGGTTTTACTTTTTCTGTAGCATTTTAGGCTGGGCTGGCTTTGAACCACAGCCTTCAGATTTCAGTCTCTTGAGTAACTAGGATTACACAGTCATAAACAACTTGAGCCTAGCATTTATTTCTCTCAAATCTCACTCCTTCCTAAGTTTTGGAAAGAGTTCATTACTTTCTGGTGCCAAACTAGTAATTGCACTTCTTTCCCCAGGACTCTGTTCTCTCTCCCTCCCTCCCTGCCTCTGTCTCTCACTGTCTCTCTTCCCACACACACATACTATATACACATGATGTATGTGAACATATTATTTAGTGTGACATTGTTCATAAGAAAGAATACTCAAGCTGGGCACCAGTGGCTCATGTTTATAATCCTAGCGACTCAAGGGACTGAGATCTGAGGATCATGGTTCAAAGCTAACCCAGGCAGGAATGTCTGTGATACTCTTATTTCCAATAAACGATTCAGGAAAAGCTGGGAGTGGTGCTATGGCTCAAGTGGTAGAGTGCTAGCCTTGAACACAAAGAGGCTCAGGCTCAGGCCCTGAATTCAAGCCCCAAGATGGAGAAAGGAAGGTAGAAGGAAGGAAGGGAAGGAGGGAGGGAGGGAAGGAAGAAAGAAAGGGAAGGGAAGGGAAAGGAAGAGAAGGGAAGGGAAGAGAAGGGAAGGGAAGAGAAGGGAAGGGAAGAAAGGAAGGAAGGGAGGAAGGGAAGGAGGGAGGGAGGGAAGGAGAGAGGGAAGGAGGGAAGGAAGGAAAAGGAAGGGAAGGAAGGAAGAAAGAAAGAAAGAAAGAAAAAAGGAAAGAAAGAAAAGAAAGAAAAGGAAGGAAGAAAGAAAGAAAGAAAGAAAAAAGGAAAGAAAGAAAAGAAAGAAAAGGAAGGAAGAAGGAAGGAAGGAAGGAAGGAAGGAAGGAAGGAAGGAAAAGAAAGGGAAGGAAGGAAGGAAGAAGGAAAGAAAGAAAAAAGAAAGAAAGAAAGAAAGAACAGAAGGTCGGAAGGACGGAAGGAGGGAAGGAAGGAAAGAATACTTAGGTAACTCACCTCAAAGCTGAAGACTTCACAGTTCACATCAAGGTGTTCTGGGGTTTCCAAGTCAGAGGCTTCTACATTATAGGAAAAAACTGTTCTGCAGAAACCAAAGACCTACAAGGGAGAGAGAAGCCTATTACTCTGTGTGTGTCTGTGTGTGTGCGCGCGTGTGCGTGTGCACGCACACGTGCGTGCATGCATGTATTTGTGTATGTATTTTTGCGATGATGGTTCTTAGCCAGAGTCATGAGCTTCTAGACATTCTGGAAAGGAAATACCATAGGCTACTGTGGTTCCATAACTAGCGGTGCTGGTGCACTAGGCTTTCCCATGTGAAGTGAGGAGGAACACTGTGCCATTGCTGCTTTGACCTAGAAAGAAAATGCTTCTACACTGAAGTCCTGGGTTGCCAAGACTGGAGAGAATGTAGAATTTTAACTGATCCCTTGCGAGTGTTGGAAAGAAAGAGCTAGTATGAACATGAGTTTGCATGAACCCTGTCAGTGTATCAGCCTAAGTATAAAGGCTACAATGGGCTGCCATTCCTGTGTTCCAGAGGCCCCAATTCCATCTGTCAAAGGACAGGAACACAACTGTTCTCGAGAAAAAGAAATGAACAAAACAAAAACAAAAACTGATCAGGATTGAAGTTCTGAGTGAAATTTCAGAGCCAGACAGACCAATGTTAATCCTGCTTCACCATTTACTAATAGTATGGGTTTAGAGGAGTTATACTGAATTCCTGAAATTCAGCCTTTGCATAGTATGTATAATACTATCTATCCCCAGATTGTGAGGGGGCTTAATTCAATAAGCTAAAGTTGGAAAACATAGCCACAAGCCTTCTCTTCTCTGGCTGTCCCAGTTCTACCATAGGTCTGGATGGAAACAAACCATGATTTCTTCCCTTGCAATGAGGCAGAATTTACTTTTAAACCTCAGAGACTCTTAGACTTGAAATCAGAATTAAAATTCCATGTTCTAATTTTCTAGCTAAAAGTAGTTAAACCTGTTCCAGAGAGGCAGAGCAGGCATTTGCTTTCTCCTTTCTTTCTGTCTTTTTATCTTCTTTCTTTATATTTGTGTCTATCCTGGGGATTGAACTCAGGGCTTGGGAGCTGTTATGAGCTTTTTTCTCTCTCTCTCTCAAGGCTAGCACTCCACCCTTGAGCCACAGCTCCACTTCCAACTTTTTGGTAGTTAATTGGAGATAAGAGTCTTATGGGCTTTCCTGCCAGGGCAGGCTCTGAATTATTATCCTCAGATCTCAGCCTCCTAAGTAGCTAGGATTATAGGTATGAGCCATCAACAGCTAGCTTACTTCTCCCTCTGAGTGAGGTTGTTATTAGGCTCTTTCTAGACAATAGTTTATTAGGCTCTTTCTAGACAATAGTTTATGTAGAGGTATGGTTTCTAAATTGTAAGTCACCATGTAACATGTCAGGGATTGTTAATAAGATCTTCCAGTAGGTGTGTGGATCAATTTTAAGTGATTAGAAGAGCAGTCCTGCTGGATTTGGTTTTGAACATTGGCAAGACCTTTCCTCTGCTGGACCTCAGTTATTTCCTCACTGGTAACCAGGTGTCCCTGCAGGTGTCAATGTGAAGGAATCGATGAGAGCTGCTTGGCATCTAAGGTCTGCATACGATGCTTAGTTTTAGTAAGCCTTTGATCCTAATAGATTACAAACTCAAATTAAAGTGTATCTATATATCTGTATCTACTCTAAATAGATATATATCAATATAGCTATCTCTATATATATACATATATGTATATAGTGTAAAATTGTATTTATATGATTTGTTGAACTTTTCTGTGCCTAGTTTCCTGATCTGTAAATCAGATATGGAAAGGTAGTTTTACATGGATATTAACTTAGTAGCACAGTAAGGTACTAATATCCATGTAAAACAGAAAAGCACTAGCAAGTAGTAAACACTTTTCTAGATGATACTTTGTATTTCACAGGTGTGTGTGTGTGTGTGTGTGTGTGTGTGTGTGTGTGTGTGTGCGCGCGCGCGCGTGCGCACCAGTGCCTGAGCACTGTCCCTTAGCTCTTTTGCTCAGTGCTGGCAGTCTACTACTAAAGCTGCAACTCCACTTCCATTTTTTGGTGATTAATTGGAAATAAGAATATCAAGGACCTTCCTGGGCTTACTTTGAACTTCAATCTCAGCTTCCTGGGTAGCTAGGATGCCCTAGCACTCAGCTTTCCTAGCCTTTTTTTTTTTTTTTTTTTGGTTGTGGGGCTTGAACTCTGGGCCTGGGTGCTGTCCCTCAGCTCTTCAGTTCAAGGAGAGCACTCTACCATTTGAGCCACAGCACCACTTCTGGTTTTATGGTGGTTTATTGGAGATAAGAGTCTCACGGACTTTCCTGCCCAGGCTGGCTTTGAACCATGATCTTCAAATCTCAGCCTCCTTGGTAGCTAGGATTATAGACGTGAGCCACCAGCTGTAGCCATTTCTTATACTCACATTAGGTTGTCTGGGGAAATGGTGTGTGGAGCAGGTCCTCACAGAGAAGTCCACATAATAATTGGTTCTTTCCCCTCCTCTCTAGAAGAGATGAGATCAACAGAATTTCAGGAGCAGCAAACACATGAAGGAAAAGCAATGTCTATCTGTACCATCCAATTTATTATAAAGTATTTTGAGATTAATAATCAATGCATGCCATTTTATCCAGTTTCTGACTTTTAAAAATGTGTCACATAGTGATGCAGGGAATATCATTTCATTAAACAGTTCCACTATCCAGACACGCTCAAATATAATGTAAACCATCACCCTTTCTCTATCCTACCTCTTCTCAGAGGAGTAACTATCTGGCATGTGATGTTTCTCCTTTAGCCTTTTCTTACATGTAGAACCACACAGATTTAAGTATTTCATATAAATGGCCTCAGATGGTAATTATTATTCTATTATCTGATTTTTCTCTTAGCTATAGTCCAATGTGTATAGTTTCCAGATATTCTTTCTTTCTTTTTATTTTTTGTCAGTCATGGGGCTTGAACTCTGGGCCTGGGTGCTGTCCCTGAGCTCTTCAGCTCAAGGTGAGTGCTCTGTCACTAGAGTCACAGTGCCACTTCCAGTTTTCTGGTGGTTAATTAGAGTTAAGAGTCTCACAGACTTTCCTGCCTGTGCTGGCTTTGAACTGTGATCCTCAGATCTCAGTCTCCTGAGTAGCTAGGATTATAGGCATGAGCCACTGGTACCTGGCTCTAGATATTCTTTATAGTAACTATGCTGTAAGCATTCCATTGCTTTCATGCACCAGAATCGATTTAACTTTTCTATTTTCAAACTGGATAGCAAGCATCAATGAGCTACCCTACAAAACACCTCTGGAAGGGCGGGAGGCCCTGGAGTCCTGGGACTGTGAGGCAGGAAACTAGCTCCAGCGGCACCAATGTGTGTGGTGAGGTCCTTTCTCCAAGCCTCTATTTTGTATCAGACATAACAAGGTCAAAGTTAGATGGGTTTAAATAACTCATATAAGCCTAGTAGCCTCTCGTCTTTCCCTTTAGATTTTCTCCCTCTCTGTGAGATATCCACTCCCTCCTCAATGCCTCTTCCAACTCTTCAAAAATTAAAAATTTGTAAAGACAAGTTCTTTGGACTAGTTTGTACATCTATGAAGCTTCAAAGGAATTTCACTTGTATTGCAGATGAAGAGCGCATGCCACTCAGTTCATGGCTTCCCAGTTAGAACCTGGGTCTCTGTCACCAATGGACATGAATGGAGTCTCACCACTCTTGCAACTCTTTCTACTTGGTCCACTCTGAAAGAGGAAAAGTCATGGTTCTGCTTTTGGTACTCATCAAGGGCTTTCTCAGCTTGTTTTCTGTAGACTTCAGTATCTTCAAAGAAATCGATGAGTACGGGACTGTCTTTGTTATTGCTCAGTGCTGAAGCAACTAGAGAGAGAAGATGGTGATGTCATGGATACAAGGTCAGAAATGGCCATATCAATGTTGAGACTTAATACAGCCATGCAAGCCTTGAGGCTATGGAATGAGATTATCCACAACACATATCAATGTAATATACACATATAACTTGTCTTCAAACCACACAACTAGCACATGATTATTGAGATTTAAGCTCAAGCAAGTCTGACCCCAGAACTGTCTCCACACTGCCTCTTATAATATTGAATTGATTTAAAGAAATCTAGACACCTAGCAGGGAAAAGTTTCCTCCTAATCTCTCTCAGGACAATGAATAATAATGGAGCTCATGAGGGAATGGATGCTGTCTGATGTACATCATGGTATTATAAGATGAATATCACTATATCACTGGGTTTTATGTTAATCAGAAGGTAATTTACAATTTTACAGATTACCATACCTGAACTTATAGTGCAGTTATAGTCATTCACTTGTAGTTCCTGAGATTCATTTGAGTGTTTTGTAGCTTTTACCTTACATCGTCCAATCACCTGCAAAGAAGTAGATTTTGTGTTATCACATTATGGTCTTCCTCAGGTTGCATATGAAGAATCATAAAAAGGAAGCAAAATCATATTGGTGGCTCCTGCCTGTCATCCTAACTATTCAGGAGCCTGAAATCTGAAAATCATGGTTTGAAACCAGTGTGAGCAGGAAAATCCAAGTGAGATAAGTGAGGTTCCTATCTCCAATTAATCACCAAAGAGCGGAAAGTGGAGCTGTGGCTCAAGTGGTAGTCACCAACCTCGAGCAAAAAAGCTAAAGGACAGTACCCAGGTCCTAAGTTCAAGTCCCAATATGCCCCCCCCAAATACTCCAACCTATAATACACTTGGGGTTTCTTTAATCAAATCTTGTCTCAAACTGCATTTCCTTAGTCTGTTTCTATGTGCCAGCAGCACAGCCTAAGCACTCAAAGCCCTCATGAGCCTAGGGAGAAATTCTTCAAGTGGATCAGATATCCCAAACATTTTCCAGGGTTAAAGCACTAAGACTCCTTGTGTGCAAACCTCTCATGTTTTGTGAAGGAGATGTTAGATGTTGTATCTGTGCTTTGGCCTTTTTGTGTTCTCTACCTGTGGCAGACAAGTTGGCATCTCATATTCAACATGTACAGCAAGACACGATTTCTCACTGCAACAAATCCCTTTGGCTATCCTTGCTGCTGGAACCCGTCTTCATGGGACACAACTATGAGGTCATACATTATGGGGGCTTTGAAGGACCTTAGAATCCATCTATTCCAATTCCTCCTATTATTTTATGATTTACACAGAGGAGACTGAAATCTAGGAGTGGCTGGTAATTTGTGCAAGGATTCACGCTATGGACCAAAAGTACTTGCTGATCTATCCTGAACTGGATTCCTAGGAATGGCTCTTCAGACAATATTAAGGTCAACATTATCTTCATGAATATTAAGGCATACATTGCTGTTACTCTTCTTCTGGGTTAGTTCAGACATGTAGTTCCCCAAGTGAGTAGAGCCATTGCAAGGTAAGAATAAGAGGAAAAGAAGGGTATCCAGTTACTTACAATATCAGATGGACTTCTTGAAGCTGGGACACAGTCATCCCAGTGTTTCCTGAATAGGACCCAACAGTCAGATTCTTTCACATCTAAGACCAAGTAATAGACAGTTGCAGATCCCTGAGGAATACCAAGGAAGCAACAGGTGAATAGGATGTAGGAGACCAGATTTTTTTTTGTGTGTGTGTGCCAGTCTTGAGGCTTGAACTCAGCCTGGGCACTGTCTCTGAGCATCTTTTGCTCAAAGCTAGCACTCTACCAATTGAGCCACAGTACCACATCTGGCTTTTTCTGAGTAGTGTATTAGAGATAAGAGTCTCAAAAGCTGGGGCCGGTGGCTGATGCCTGTAATCCTAGCTACTCAGGAGGCTGAGATCTGAGGGTCACAGTTCAAAGCCAGCCCAGGCAGGAAACTCTATGAGACTCTTATCTCCAAAAAACCACCATAAAACCAGAAGTGGCACTATGGCTCAAGTGGTAGAACGCTCACCTTGAGCTGAAGAGCTGAGGGACAGCGCCCAGGCCCAGAGTCTCATAGACTTTCTAGCCTAGGCTGGCTTTGAACCACAATCCTCAGATTTTAGCTCCATGAGTACCTAGGATTACAGATGTGAGTCAGTGGTACCCAGTTAGAACAGTTTTTTTTTAAAAGTGAAAGTAATTCCTCCCTTCTTCCCTTCCTCCCTCCATCCCCTCATTGTTTCCTTACTTTTCTTTTTTTTCTTCTCTTCCTCCCTTCCTTCTTCATCTTTTGTAGCTTAGGCTGGCCTTGGACTTCTGCCTCAGCCTGTGAGCGCTGGGACTATGGACATATACCATCATACCTGGCAGCAAGATATTTCCTAAACACAATTCCTACTCATTTGGTCTGTCAGTCTGTTAGTCATGGGGCTTGATCTCTGGGCCTGGGAGCTGTCCTTGAGCTCTTCAGCTCAAGGCTAGTGCTCTACCACTTGAGCTACATACAGCGCCACTTCTAGTTTTCTAGTGGTTACTTGGAAATAAGAGTCTCACAGACTTTCCTGCCCAGACAGGCTGGCTTTGAACTGCGATCCTCAGATCTCAGCCTCCTGAATAGCTAGCATTACACGTGTGAACCACCTGTGCCCTGATTGGTCTATTTTTTAAAAAAAATAAATAGTTTCAATAATGATTTCCAAATGTTCTTTTTAAGTGGCCATGATGTTTCTTCTGCCTGTGAACTTTAAAAGGCCATCAGTAAATGGCAGTGTTTGGTTTTGGTGGAGGTGTTGAAGGCACGGCAAATGCAACTGATGCTAGTCACATCACACTTTCCAATAGGTGTTTGTGGTTGTAAGCTCTCGCCATTTCTGTTCCTGAATTTGTATTTCCTACCATGATTTCAACTTGCTCGACTCTAAATCTACTCTCTTCTCAGCTGTCTTTCAACTTCCCTTATTTTGTCAGTGGTGCTTACTTAATTATTGCTTTGGGTTCTGGCTTAAAAATGTAAATAAACATTGACTTCTTCCTTTGACTATCCAGAAACCAGGCTATGGAATCCATCCGTCTTTGAAATGTTTCTCACATGTATTTTCCATTCTCATGGCTTGAATTTCCACTGCTGGGTCTGGCTCTCATTTTTTCATTTTCAGATTAATGGAGTAGCTTCCTAGGTTGTGTCCTTGCCACTAGCCTTCATCTCTCCATATTTCCCCAGGCCCACTCTTCCTTTCTCAGGTCCCTAACCCATGCTCTATATTGCCATTCAGTATTACTAGCACCATACCTATTTTGTTTTGTGTTCTACACATAAGAGAGTCTATTGATCAGTAAAATGTTCATTGAGTTTCAAATTTCTGCTCTCCTGTTCTCTGGATTCTGCAGTGCATCTATTTTTAATACTTTAGAGAGTAAACTGCTTTGCTTGTCCTTTCCAGCAATCCATGATCTAGCCCCCTCATTTCATCATTGCACCGAAAAGAAAGTCGATGATGAGATGATGATGATGATGATGATGATGATGATGATGTTGAGGAAGCTGAGGTTTTCTTTGGCATTCTTCCATGATCTCCAGCAGTCCATCAAATCCACTCTAAATATGTATGCATTCTGCTGGGCTCCAGTGGCTCATGCCTGTAATCCTAGTTACTTAGGAGTCTGAGATCTGAGGATTGTAATTGTAAGCCAGCCCAACCAGATTCTTCTTTCTTTCTTTCTTTCTTTCTTTCTTCCTTCCTTCCTTCCTTCCTTCTTTCCTTCCTTCCTTCCTTCCTTCCTTCCTTCCTTCCTTCCTTCCTTCCTTCCTTCCTTCCTTCCTTCCTTTCTTTCTTCCTTCCTTCCTTCCTTCCTTCCTTTCTTTCTTTCTTTCTTTCTTTCTTTCTTTCTTTCTTTCTTTCTTTCTTTCTTTCTTTCTTTCTTTCTCTTTCTTCCTTTCTCTTTCTTTCTCTCTCTGTCTCTCTGTCTCTGCATCTGTCTCTGTCTCTGTCTCTCTCTCTCTCTCTTTTTGTCAGTTGTAGGGCTTGAACTCTGGGCCTGGCCACTGTCCTTGAGCTCTTCAGCTCAAGGCAAGTGCTCTGCCACTTGAGCCACAGCGCCGCTTCCGGTTTTCTGGTGGTGTATTTCTGGTGGTGTATTGGAGATAATAGTCTCACAGACGTTCCTGCCTAGGCTGGCTTAAAACCACAATCCTCAAATTTCAGCCTACTGAATAGCTAGGATTACAGGGTGAGCCACTGGTGCTCGGCTGTCCATGAGACTCTTATGTCCAATAAAAAAAGGTAAGGACAAAAAACCGCTGAAAGTGGGAGAGCACCAACTTGAGCAAAGGAAGCTCAGGGACAGTAAGCTCCCAGGTCCTGAGTTCAAGCCCCAGGATTAGCACACAAAAAAGTAAATAAGTAATTAAGTAAGTAAATAAAAAAAATAAATATGTGATCTAAGTGAAGAAAAATTAGGCTTGCCTGGCTTGAAGATAAGCTCATTATATGCATAAATTGTTGAATTGAAACCCCTTTGTAACTTAAAAGATTTAAAAAAAAATACCCCTGTAATAAAGACAAGCCCTCATTTTTTCTTACAACATCACATTGAACTGTGGCCTTTCCAGGGCCAACAGTGAACTTCAGAACCCTGCCCCCTCTCATGTGCTTATTCAGTTTCTCCCCCAAACCACCTGCCTTTCTTACTTCCTGCCCGCCTAGGTATATGTGGCTAGAATTTACCTTGAATGCCTTTCTCCAGGCCTCCTTCCATTTTTTTCAAAACCTAATTGACGCGTTCTCTCCTCCAGTCTTAACAAATTGTCTTTCACTAAGTTGCTCCAATATCTAGCCTATGTACTAAGTCACTGAATTTTTCTATCCGATCTTACAGTTTGCCTATGTGTGTCAGCAGCCTATTACTTTTTTTGAGAACAGTTCCCCCCCCCCATTAATTCTAGTTTTTCATTTAAAATAGTTAGCATTCAAGTAGGTTCAGCATAAGTACTGTCCAAAGCTAAATACTTACACATTGGTTTATAGTTAAGAACATGCCAATAGCAAACTAATTTGAAGAAAGGAAGAAAAAAGAAGAGCAGTCTTCAAAACTAAATAACAACAACAACAACAAAAACCCAGTCCGAAGCTATTCATGGTGAGAAGAGGTCAGTTTGGGGCCTGGAATCCCTTTTGTCCCTGGTAACATGGCGTCCCAACTCAGCTCAGCCATGGGTGATTTCTCACCTCTCTGTCCAAGTAGGCATCAGCAACCCGCAGCAATTGGAAAAGATAGCCTTTCCAGCGATCTTTATTGATCAAGTCTAGCACTTTCTCTGCCACAGGCTCAGTGTCATTGCAGTTGATGGGATTCACAGCACATGAACACTGTAGTATGGTGAGAAGCAATGCTATGGTGAGCACCTTCATTGTGTTGCACCAAGCAAAGGACTATCATACCAGAGAATTTTATACAGATGTTCCTCAACACACTCACACCCACACCCACACACACACACACACACACACACACATGCATACACACACGATATTGACAAAACAAAGTCTTTGTACATTTCTGTTTTGTAACTGGGTATGTTCACCTTGACCTCAGGTTCAAATAGCCACCTTGTAGGCTGTCAATGATTAGTCAGCCCTGAGGACAAAAAGTTTAGACACACCATTGGTGTGTGAGTGAAACCAGGATAGGTACAAATATGATTATTTCTATTAAGTGGCAGATCCAGAGTATGGTTTCGATCCTAGGCTGCCTATGGGGGCTGCAGTAATTTGCCCCTATCTGCCTGTCTTGGTTGGAAATCTGGAGCACTCTTTGGATTATGACTCTAGAATTCCTCAATTGAATGTAACTGCATCATGTAAGAGATGTGACATGTCCAACAGTTAACATAAAAAGAATTAACTTCAGGAAGAATTGGATGATGAAAAGGCTGCAACCCTGCAGATATTTAATTTCTAATCCTGGATGTTACTTCTTTATTGTGTGATTGTTGGGTGTGGAGTCAAGTTGGGAACAAAACACTAGTTAGTGTCAGGGAATGACGGAAGCAATGATGAAACTTGAGGTATACTGGAATGAGGATATAGGGGACTACAAGTCTGTGTAGTATTCCTGCATGCAATTTGAACCATGCACCAAAGAAAACACATGCAATCAGCAAGAAAGAAGAATTAGCCAACCCCCCAGTAACCCATCCAATATAGCAGTAGTAAAACCCTCCTTTCCGATCTTGATTTCATACTGGAAGCACTGCAAGATCTTTTAAAAATAAATTCTAGTAGCCAAGAAATGGTGTCTCACACCTGTAATACTACTCAGGAGGCTGAGATCTGAGGGGTTAGCATATGAAGCCAGGCCAGACAGAAAAATCTGAGAGATTCCTATCCCCAACAAACCAGCAAAAAGCCGTCAGTGGAGGTGTGGCTCCAATGGTAGAGCACCAGCCTTGATTAAAAAAAAAAACCCAAGGAAGACTGAAAGGCCATGAGTTCAAGACCCAGTTCTGGCACAACAGCAGCAAAACAAAAATCCTGGTTTTGTGCTAGAGCTATAACTTAGTGGTAGAGCATTTCTCATAGCACATGCAAGGTACTGGGTTCAAGTGCCATCACTTAAAAAATTATGTGAAAAAGAATCAATCTTGGTGGTTAAGACCCTACAATTAAACTTAGAAAGTCTGGGAAGTGGACCTAGATATTAATATTGGTGATTTTAAAATACCTGAGCCTCTAGACAGAACTGTAGGAAGGGAAAGAAGGAAGGGAAAGGATTTGGAGAATGAAAAGGTTGGCATTACATACAATCTTTTCCAAAAGGCCCTGAAAGTGTCTTATATTAAAGGTGGAAGAAAGTGGCTCACACCTGTAACCCTAGCTACTCAGGAGACTAAGATTTGCTGACTGCAGTTCAAAGCCAGCCTAGCAAAAAAGTGTGTGAGACTATTTTTTTTCTACTCCTGGGGCTTGAACTCAGGGCCTGGGCACTGTCCCTGAGCTTCTTTTACTCAAGGCTAGCATTCTACCACTTCAGCACAGCACCACTTCTGGGTTTTTCTGTTTATGTGGTACTGAAAAATCAGCCCAGGGCTTCGTGCATGCTAGGCAAGCACTCTACCACTAAGCCACATTCCCAGCCCACTTGTGAGATTTGTATCTCTAATTAACTACAAAAAAGAGTCAGAAGTGCAGTTGTGGTTCAAGTGCAGGAGTACTATACTTGGGCAATAAAGCTCAGGGATGGTGACCAGGCCCTGAGTTTAAAAAAAAAGTAGAAGAAAGAAGCCAGATATTGGTGGCTCTCACCTATAATCCTAGCAACCACGAGACTGGGATTGGAGGATCACAACTAGAAACTAACCCTGACAGACAAATCCAAGAGACTCTTATTTTTAATTAATCCTTCCCCCTTCCCTCGCGGCCCCCCACCTTCCCACCCACTCCCCCCCCCCCCCCCCCCCCGCTGCCAAAAATGCTGGATGTGGAAGTGTGGCTCAAGTAAGGCATCAGCTTTGAGCAAAAGGAAAAGCTAAGGGAGAGAGCCTAGGCCCTAAATTTAAGCCCCAGAATCAACACATGCGCGTGCGCACACACACACACACACACACACACACACACACACACACACACACACACACACACACACACAAACACACAGAGAAACACATTAAAATAATACTTGAGAACGAAATATTAGAATCAGCAATTTGGCTTCTAAACCCTTAAAGGGAATGATACCACCATATAAACTGCTTGTGCTATAAAATATTTATTCTGGTAACAAGTGCTTTTCAAGTTGCTTTTGCTGAATAGCACTGACTACTTACTTGGGCTCAAGAATTAAGTAAAATAAGAGAAAATCTTGCCATCTCAGCCTTGGTTTTGTATCTGTGTCCTTTGTTCTAAACCACCCACTTTGCCATCATCTTGGAATCCAGGAAAGGACAAGACTGATCAGTGACATTGTTCTGACAAGAAGCTGAAACTATCTCTAAGGAAGAGCAGATCGCTCCCTAAGTGAGGGTAAGTACCTGCAATGATGAGGCTGTTCCCTGGAGCCAGAGATGTCAGCCACGGCTACCAGATTGTTCCTGTAAAGTGATGACAGTGAAAACTTCTCCAGAATTTCGGTAGTGACCAGCCAGCCGGGCCACATCCATAACTTCCAATTCCTTCCCCCAGTTCTTTGTCTATCTAAACCTCTAGCTCACGTCCATGCTCCAAAGATGGCTGAAAGTCTGCAGAAGATCTTTGCAAGGTAAGCCCATCCTATGTAATAAACCTCCTTTCTGCTCTCTTCACCATGGCTCTTCCTTTGACAGACCTGACGTAGAAGCCCCTGACTCAGGCCTGGAGTATAAAATTCCACTTTGATTCCCACTTCACTGGAAGACAAAAATATAGAAGGGCTGAGTTGACAATTTTTCTTTTCTTTTCTTCTTTCTTTCTTTCTCTCTCTTTCTTTCTTTCTTTTTCTTCCTTTCCTACCTCCTTTCTTCATTCCTTCTTTCCTTCCTTCTTTTTCTTTCTCTCTTTTTCTTTCCTTCCTTCCTTCTTTCCCTTCCTTCCTTCCTTCCTTCCTTCTATCCTTCCTTTGTTTCTTCCTGTCCTTGTCCTAGGTCTCAAACTCAGGACCTGGTCACCAACCCTGAACATTTTTGCTCAAAGCTAGTGCTCTACTACTTGAACCAATGTTCTACCTTTGGCTTTTTGGTGGACAATTGGGGATAAGAGTCTCGTGGACTTTTCTGCTTGAAGTTGGTTTTGAACTGCAGTCTTCAGATCCCAGCTTCTTGAGTAGCTACAATTACAGTTGTGAGCCACAGGTGCTCAACTCTTTCTCTATTTAAACTGAACACTCCTGTTAGAATCCCAAAGATGAAATGAAATGCTTACTTTCCCTCTTCCTGGGTACATCTGCTATGTTAATAAATCTACTTCCTCCAATCTTCTTTGATAGGTGTATTGGGGCAAGTAGTGGAACCCAGCATATTGGAATCCGCAGAGTCAGGCCTTTGGCCTAGGATTATGGTTAGGGCAACTCAGAATGACCATGGACTATGCCCCAGATATTGTTAAAAGGCTCCAAACCCGAAAGACAGGGAGGAAAATTATTGATTAAAACAAAACTTGTTTGATGTTCCAATGAACTGAACTCTTAAGCCTTCGAATTATTGCTATATTGGCTGCACACAATATAGAGTGCCTGGTGAACCAAACACTAAGATAGGTGAAGGGATTAGAATACTAGGGTGTGGGAGGATGAGGTGTCAAAGTTGAGAATACATTTTTCCTACAGTACTTTTTTTTTCCCTCTGAGACTTAGATTTCTTAGCTCTTTTGTTTTGTGCTGATCATGGGGCCTGAACTCTGGGCCTGGACGCTGTCCCTCAGCTCTTCAGCTCAAGGCTAGCACTCTACCACTTGAGCCATGAGCCACAGCACCACTTCCGGCTTTTTCTGCTTATGTGGTGCTGAGGAATCGAACCCAGGGCCTCATGCATGTGAGGCAAGGACTCTACCACTGAACCACCTTCCCAGCCCCTCCTCTGAGACTTAGAAGTGTATATAGCAGCCAGGCATCCTCTTACCTTTACTATCTTGACACACACCCATGTATTTTTGAATAAGTAAGGTAATGAAATACATTCAATGCTTTTAAAGAATAAAGGAACAAAAATCTTGAATGATATAACATTCTATCAACTGACCCAGTGAATTTCAATGAAATAATTAAAGACTTACAAGGGTATCTTTTGTAACATTATGGATAAAAACAGTACTGGCCTCAAATTTGGGACCTGGGTACTGCCCCTTAGCTACTTTACTTGAGGCTGGCATTCTACCACTTGGTCCATAGTTCTACATCCAGCTTTTTAGTGGTTAATTTGAGATAAGATTCTCACAGACTTTCCTAACTGTACTGGCTTTGAACCTTGATCCTTAGATCTCAGCCTCCTGAGTAGCTCAGATTACAGGTATGAGCCACCAGAGCTCAGCAGAATATACATACATATATATACATATACATATATATACATACACACACATACATATTATAGCTATTTTAGAAGCAGGGAAAACTTGAGTGGGAAGAAACAGCAAGTTCTTAGGTACTTCTTACCTATTCTTTTCCTATTCATAGCCTTCCCCACTATAAATATTTGAACCTGAAAAGGTACATTTGTTATAATTGATCAACTTTCAATGACACATCATTATCATCCAAAGTTCATAGTGTACATTACACTCTTCTCCCATGAGAGAACACTCTATGGGTTTTGACAATGTTGTAATAACATGTGTCCACCATTATAACATTATAAAATACCCTCTGAGCTCTACCTACTAATCCTTCCCCCTTTCTAATCTCTGGCAACCACAGATGTTCTTACAGTCTTCATAAATGTGCCTTTTCTAAAATACCCTACAGTGGGATTTAAGCAAACATCAAGTATTTCTGGATCAGGATTGAACATTTTCATGGAAACAACTTCTCTCTGAGGCTTAGAATAAGGTTTCTCTCAAAGGCTTGGGCCATCCAAGCTGGTAGTTCACTGTTTCTGAATATGTCTTCCTTTTTTTGTGTGTACTGGTCCTGGGACTTGAACTCAGGAGATCTAGGATCTATCCTTGAGCTTTTATGTTCATGACTAGCGCTCTAACATTTGAGCCACAGCACTATTTCTGGCTTTTGGGTGGTTAATTGGAGAATAAAAATCTCACAGATTCTCTTGCCCAGTCTGGTTTCAAACTACAACCCTCAGATCTCAGCTTCCTGAGTAGTTAGGATTACAGGTATGAGCCACAGATGCCTCCTGGTTTCCCACACTTTTTTTTTTTTTGCACTGGTTATTTTTTAAATTAGGTCTCTTGTTTCCTGTCCAGGCACATGTCTACACCACAATCCTATTATTTTTCACTTTCCATTGGAGCTGGGATTACAGGTATGTACCACCACACCCAGCTTCTTCTGTTGAGATGGAGTCTCAGAGTTTTCTCTCCAATCTGGTTTTATGACCAGAATCTTAACTTCATACATAGCTAGGTTGACAGGTGTGTACCTCTGTGTCCAGCTATTGGTTGAGAAGAAATCTTGTGTGTATGATTGGACAGTCCTCAAACTGCTATCCTTCTGATCTCAGTTTCTCAAATAGCTAGGTTATATGCAAGATCCACTACCACCCAGCACCACATAGGATTTTTTTGTTTTGTTTTGTTTTTGCTGGCTGTGGGGCTTGAACTCAGGGCCTAGGCACTGTCTCTGAGCTCTTTTACTCAAGGCTAGTGCTTTATCACTTTCAGCCACAGCTCCACTTCCAGTTTTTGAGAGGTAAATTGGAGATAAGAGTTTCATGGAGACTTCTCTGCCCAAACTGGCTTCAAACCAGAATCCTCAGATCTGTCTCCTGAGTAGTTTAGGATTACAGGTGTGAGCCACCGGCACCCAGAACCATATAGTTTTTAAATATTGGAAAAAGGACACTAGGATCCAGGAGTTGGTGGCTCACACCTGTAATCCTAGCTACTCAGGAGGCTAAGATCTGAGGATTATGGTACAAAGCTAGCTCAGATAGAAAAGCCAATGATTAACTACAGAAAAGCTGGAAATAGAACTGTGGCTCAAGTGGCAAAGAGCTAGCCTTGAGTAAAAGATTGAAGGAAAGATCCCAGGCCCCGAGTTCAAGCCCAGTACTAGAACACACACAAACATAAAGACTATTATCGAGCGTCATGTTCTAATAAGCCTGGCAGACACTATGGGCACACTTTGCTTCTATGTGACCTCATTTTACTGAGTGACCCAACTATAGAGATATTTAGGCTGGTGAGAAGAGGTCAAGGGCTGAAAATAGCATGGGCAATATCGAGCTAGACTTGACCTTGTAGGCAAAGGGGAGGTCATGAAGGCAACTCTACTGAGCTTCAACTTCTTCCATCTCTTAGGGAAATTCCTTTGGGCAGCTTATGTCTAAAGAGCTGAGCATAAACAGGATGACCATCTTAATAAACCCTTGCTTGGGAGTGCACGTGTTGGTAGGTGGGTATACAGTGTAGCCCACAAGGGGATTTTAGTCTCATTATGCCCATTCCCAACAACACATTGAAGCCAAGAAGAGTCAAAAGGACATACTTTATTAGCCATTGTCTACATTTGAACCTCTCTCTCTGTCCCATTCCTACCACCTCTCATCTTGTACAAGAAATCACACCCACATGGTACACTCTCTGTGATTCTCAGGGCGGGAGAATAAGAGGACTGGTATGCTTGGCAGGCGATGGGCACTGGGTAGAGTGCTGTTCTTTTTTGGGGAAAGGCAGCACACGCAGCTTCTTTTCCTCAGGTCCCATGAAGAGGAAAGACACGTCCACGGTTGTTCCCTGGGGATCTGTGGTCAGGTCCAACTGCACGGGGAAGGCTTCCTGAGGATCTTTCTCTTGAGGATCTTTGGCCTTTTCATCATCCAAGTCAGGGAGGTGCTGGACAGAGCCCCTTGGTATGGGGAAAGCGGAAAGCTTTTTCTTAGATGGATCCTCTGCCTCAGGGAGGATTGGGGGTCCCTGGGTAGCATCAGTATTTTCACTTGCTGGAACCTGAACCTGAAATTAAAAAAAAAAAAATTAATGAATTTTCTAGGGAAAGCCCTGAAAGGTATCAGGCTCAAGCTGTTTTATTCCTTTCTGGTAGAATCTTATACAGTAAAACCAGCTAAAAGGAGGCTGGGAATGTGGCTTAGTGATAGAGTGCTTGCTTTTATGCCTGCCTAGCATGCATAAAGCCCTGGGCGCAATTCCTCAGCACCACATAAATAGAAAAAGCCAGAAATGGTGCTGTGGCTCAAGTTGTAGAGTGTTGGCTTTGAGTAAAAGAAGCTCAGGGACAGTGCCCAGGCCCTAAGTTCAAGTCCCAGGATTGGCAAAAAAAAAAAAATCAGCTAAGAGGATGGGGCTCCTGGTTCAAGGGGGAAAGTAAATACAGATAAGGAACAGAGAAGACCTAGACTTATAAAAGCTTGGCTTCAAGTCTCACAATTTCAGAGCTGAAAATGATCCAGAAAGTCTTGATGAGGTGTCTCTGTTCCCAGTAGTAGCAGCAGGTGGCATGCAGCAGGTGGTATCTTTTATTATTATTATATTATCTACTTTTAAATTAATTAATTATGCATCTACTAGGCTTGAACTCCTGGCCTCTGGCTGTCCCTTGCATTTTGGCTCAAGGCTGAAGCTCTACTATTTAAGTCACACTTCCACTTCTACCTTTCTATGGGTTGACTGGAAATGAGTCTCTCAGATGGGTGTTGGTGGCTCATACCTCTAATCTACTCAGAAGACCCAGATCTGAAGACCACAGTTCAAAGCCAGCCTGGCCAAGAAAGTCTGTGAGCCGCTGATCTCCAATTAACCCAGCAAAAAGCCAGAGGTGGAGGTGTGGCTCAAGTGACAACATGCCAGCCTTGAGCAAAAAAAGCTAAGGGACAGCCCCCAGGCTTTGAATTGAAGCCCTAGTACTGGAACAACAATAACAACAAAAACACTCTGGGATTTGTCTGCTCAGGCTGGCTTTGAATCATGATCTCAGCCTCTTGAGCAGTAGCTAGGAATTGCAAGCATTTGTCACTCCTACCTGGCACTTTTCATTGTTTATTCTGTATTGGACCTTGCATGGCACCCTCATTTAGCTGCTCTTAGTTTCTTTTGGGGAACTGAGTGAGGTCAAAGAGCTCACAGGTGCAGAGCAGGACTGGAAGCAAAGCAGCCTGTACCAGGCTGACTAATATGGGATGCTTAGTAACTTCCATGATGGGGGAACTGAATGTTTTTTTGGTTCTTTGTTTTTTTGTCAGTTGTGAGGCTTGAACACTGGGCTTGGGGGTTGTCCCTCAGCTCTTCAGTTCAAGGTGAGAGCTCTACCACTTGAGCCACAGTACCACTTCTGGTTTTCTAGTAGTTTATTGGAGATAAGAGTCTCACAGACTTTCCTGCCCGGGCTGGCTTTGAACTGCGATCCTCAGATCTCAGCCTCCTGCGTAGCTAAGATTACAGGCCTGAGCCAGCAATGGAATGTTTTCATAGACGTGACTTCTCCTGAGGCTGGGAGTAAGACTTCTTTGGGACACTGAATTTCATGTCTCAGAAGCTTGGGCCATCCAAGCTGGTTGTTCATTGTTTCTGTAATCTTAAGCCATATTGTAATTAGAGTATGGCAGGGCTCTAGTCAGCTACCATGAATGAGTGTGACTAGCTCCAACCAATAGATGTCCCCTTCGGATAGCTTGAATAAAGTGAGGATCTTGGATCTCAAAAGAGGCTGGTGGGTCATGGTGGGTATACACAAATACAATGCTCTTTTCTTTCACAAAGGACAATTAGATTGAAGAAAATACCTGTGATTCAAAGAAGTCACAAGATACAGTAACAAACTTATCTTCTGGTGTTTTAGTCAGAGAACCTTCGCAAAGACCAACAGACTGAAAATAAAGAAAAATACAAGGTCATGTCAGTGTTAAGATTACTATAAGCGGAAATCAGCTCACTTTCTGCTTCCATTGGCACAGAACCAATCAACATTTTTAAGTTGTTGTTTATGATAGACAGGCTCTGGCCCATTCCCTGCAAATCATCTCTACCAAGAAATCATACAAACTAGGCTAAATTGCCTCCCGTAATAGAAAACTCCCTATATCTTGAGGAACAAAACTCAACTATTAGAAATGTATTTGCATTGAGCAGAAACCAGTATCTATATAACTTCTACCTGTTGGCTTTAGTTCTATTCTTCTGTCAATTTGAAAACTTGTTTTTGTCTTTTTTTTTAAATGGCATCCCTTCCAAGTATTGAATTTTTTCTTCTTAGACGAAATAACTGTTTCATCACCTTACTGTTATTTTAATATAAAATAAAGATTTTCTTATTACAAATGTAATAAATAGTTCTTTATTTAATATTTAAACAAGAGGAAGATAAAACAATCTGGAATTGATAGAAGACAGTTATTATTTATAATAATTCATTTTCTTCTAATGATTTTCCTGTGTACATATTGTTTTCTAAACATTGGAGCATATTATTATATATCTATTATGTTACTAAGTAATATATTGAGCAAATTCTCTTACCATATTGGATAAGCTTCTATAATTATCTTCATAATAGCTTCCTAGTAGTGTTCTGTATTATTTGTGTGGTGTGAGTGTGAGTGTGTGTGTTTGTATGTGTGTGTTTGTATGTGTGTATGTGTATGTGACAGTCCGGAGGTTTGAACTCAGAGTCTGGGTGCTATCCCAGAGCTTTTGTGCCAAGCATAGCACTCTGCCATGTGAGCAACAGCTCCACTTGTAGCTTTTTGGTGGAGATAAGAGTCTGGGTTTTAGGGGCTGGGAAGGTGGCTCAGTGGCAGAGCGCTTGCCTTGCATGCATGAGGCCCTGGGTTCGATTACTCAGCACCACATAAGCAAAAAGAAAAAAGCCAGAAGTGGCACTGTGGCTCAAGTGGTAGAGCGCTAGCCTTGAGCTGAAGAGCTGAGGTACAGCCCCCAGGCCCAGAGTTCAGGCCCCACAACGGGACCCCCCCCCCCCAAAAAAAAAAGAGTCTGGGTTTTTCTCCCCAGCCTGGCTTGAAACCATGATAATCAGATCTCGGCCTCTTGAGTACTTAGAATTATAGGCATGAGCCACCAACACCTAGCCTTGCTCCTTATTATTTTATAAGCTGTTTTTTGGTTAAACAACTAAAGTGAATCTGATTTTTTTCTTTATTTGTGGGTCTTACGGTTACAGTCCATGAATTATAATACAGTACATAAATGATATGTTAGTAAAGCAGTTACTGTCAATAAATGAGAAATATTTCTGGTACCTTTTGTTCATTGTGCCATAATACATTATAGCCATTTACATTCCCACTAGGTGTTCTTAAAGTGACCCTTTCATTATGGATGTTATTATGGAGCTGCTATTTGACTGTTTCTCTTGTAAAAAGTAGTTCAAGGGCCGGGCGCTGGTGGCTCACGCCTGTAATCCTAGCTACTCAGGAGGCTGAGATCTGAGGATAGCGGTTCAAAGCCAGCCCGGGCAGGAAAGACCGTGAGACTCCTATCTCCAATAAACCACCAGAAAACCGGAAGTGGCGCTGTAGCTCAAATGGTAGAGCACTGGCCTTGAGCTGAAGAGCTGAGGGACAGCGCCCAGGCCCAGAGTTCAAGCCCCACGACCGACAAAAAAAAAAAAAAAAAGTGGTTCAAGGAATGGAACACCATGTTAATGGTCTCTTCTTTCTTTCCTTCCTTTCTTCCTTCCTTCTTTCATTTTCTCTCTCTCTCTTCCTTCCTTCTTTCCTTTGTTCCCTGCCCTCTCTTTCTACTATAGTGCATTTCAAATGTAACCCAATCCAAGTAGGATCACCATCAACCATGAGGAGATTCATCTACATTTTACCATTTTTTGTAGTTGCATCATGTTGCTAATGTAAAGTATAGTTACGGTTGAATAAGGGTTTTTGTCATCGCCTCTGGGCCTGCATAATTTTTTTTATTTTTAAATTTTATGCCAGCAATAGGGCTTGAACTCAGTGGTTGGGCACCATTCCTTAACTTTTCATGCAAGGTTGGTGTTCTACCACTTGAGCCACAGTTCCACTTCTGACTTTTTGCTAGTTAATTGGAGAGAAGAGTTATATGGACTTTTCTTCCTGGGCTGGCTTCAAAAATCAATGATCACATCTCATATTAGCTAGAATTGCATCCATGAAGCCACTGGCCCCCATCTTTGGGTCTGCCTAATTTCTAAATAGGTAATTACTTCTTGAGGGGAAGAGGAGTATCTCATACTTTCTGTAATTTAGTGATCATCTAAATTATGACAATAAGCAAGAATATTCAAATGTACTCACCACAGAGTTTAGAGATTGCAGTGAGCAGCTCTCCTGGGACTTGGTACATGGTGACTCCTTGATTAAATATTCCACAAAGTAAGCAGGGCCAACCACCCACTGTTATGAGACAGGGTTGAGATGTTAAAGTCAAGCCTTTTACTTGGCAGCATTAGATTTACAGAAACAATTCCAATGCCCAGACACAGTGTTACCACACAAACATATTGCCCCACAAGACACAAATCCACTGTCCCTGCAAGACCCCCACAGGAGTCCAACATGCCCCATGATTTGTGTATTTAGAAAACACAATCACTACACCTTCATTGAATTCTTAAATTCTAAACATTTTCCCTTAGTGGGTGAGCTTATTTTTCTTCATAAATAGCTGTCTTTTAGTGTATGTAAATACATGCTCTATATATAAGAGAGAAAATATATATCATATGAGAGTTAGCAACATAATCCAAAATATGAATGAGTCTCCATTATCTCTAACCCAGAAAATTCAGTACCTGCCCCAGGCCCTAACATGGAATAAAAGTCATCTTGCTAAGTCAGATCTGAGCACATAGCAGTAAATAGTGAATCTACACAGACCCCTCTATTGAAGACAATGAATCCATTTCACATCTTAACACCAATGAAGTAAAATCAGGTCATGGGATATGCACAGACGTGCCATGGGATAACAAAGATGAAAACATGACAGTGTCCAACAGATTACCAGAGGAGGAAATATAGAGAAAGGTTCTGGAGTTCTTAAGAAATGGAGAACCAGGATATTTTCTGCTGACCTTAGGAAATTATAGCAACAGTGATGAGATCCATTGTTTGCATAACTGACCTGGTCATTTTAGCCTTACCTGGCTAGAGGCCTTGGTGATTTTTATGAGAGAGTACTGCTTCGAGGGACTCTCACTGTTGAATTTTGCAAGAGACTCAGTCACAGCTTCCAGAACCTCGGGGTCTGACAAGTTGGTGGGGCTGGGGCAATCAGGGCACATAGTATGAATCTTTCTCCGAGAAACTGTTGATGCCAACAAGAGGAATTTATTTTCATAAGTCATGAAAATAACAGAGGCCAAGACTGAACAAACTAGATACTATTCAGTGTTAGTGAGGATGGAGTGGAAAGATCTTTTCAGGGATGAAGATGTGCCTTACAGAGTAAGGCACTTGTCTAAGAAGCACAAGGCCCGAGTTCAAAATCTAGTACTACCAAAAGAAATATTTTTTTTGAGTCCAGTTGGGGGGCCTAAACTCTGGGCCTGGGTGCTGTCCCTCAGCTCTTCAGCTCAAGGCTAGCGCTCTACCACTTGAGCCACAGCGCCACTTCCGGCTTTTTTCTTTTTGCTTATGTGGTGCTGAGGAATCAAACCCAGGGCCTCAGGCATGCAAGGCAAGCACTCTACCACTGAGCCACCTTCCCAGCCCCAGCCAAAAGAAATATTTTTTTTAAAAAAACAAGAGAAAGACAAGCTGGACACGGGTAGCACATTCTTGTAATCCTAGCTACTCAGGAGGCTGAGATCTGAGGATTATGGTTTGAAGCCAGTTCTGGCAGAAAAGTCCAGGAAACTCTAATCTCTTAATTAACCACAAAAAAAAAAAATCCAGAAGTAGAACTGTAGCTCAAGTGCCAGGCTTGAGTGATAAAGCTAAGGAACAGTATCCAGGGCCTCCCCCCCCCCCCCCGCCACATACCCACACACAGAATAATAATAATAAAAGGAGAAAAATATTTTCTGGAACAGAATCTCTTGGCAATGAGTATTCTCTAATGAGCTTTATTTCTTTCATAATAACAAAAGAAATCAAAGCAAGACAGATTTCACCTACCGCAAATGTATATATTCTAGAAATTTTGTTTTAACATGCATAATACAGTATAATCTGACACACCTCCTTCCCAGTTCAGTGTAATTTCTCACCATTGCCTCTATATACTGGGTGCCTTTGAAAGGTTGGGACTTTATTGTTGCCATGTCTTATTTGTTAGTTGGTGCTTAAAACATACTATAACTTTTAACACATAATGTTCAGTAAATGCTTATAGAATAAGAAGATGATAAAAATGAAGGTAGAAGCCTTTCCCTTTGGTTAGAAAATGCAGGTGAGACAGAAACAAATTGGTTGAACCACTGTGACTGGAAAGAATGATCACATTGATGAATAACCCTAGTGTCTGGGAAGAGCTGGAGATGGAAGACAATTTGCTAGTATATCAGGCTATGGATTTTACCTGTAAGCTTTTCACAGGAAAACACATTGTTCAAGCTGGGCACAGGTAGCTCATACCTGTAATCCTATCTACTCAAGAGGCTGAGATCTGAAGATCACAGTTCAAAGCCAGTTTGAGTAGGAAAATTTGTGAGACTGTTATCTCCAAAAAGCCAAGAGTAGAGCTGTGGCTCAAGTGGTAGATCACTAGCCTTGAGCAAAAAAAAAAAGCACAGAAACAATGCTCTGGCCTTGGGTCAAGCCCCAAGACTGGCACAGGAAGAAAGGAAGGAAAGTAGGAAGGAAGGGAAAGGAAAGAAAAGGATTATATATTGGCTGTATTTTGGGAGACTATGAAAGATTATGAAGAGTTAGATCCACAGCTTGTCATTCCTACATTATCACCCATCATTTCCTGACTCTCATAGCGCTGATAACTATGACCATCATACAAGTACTGAGACTGTAAGTTGTTCTCTAATTCATTTTAAGTTAGTCTTCTCTTCAAAGCCAGGAACCTTCAGCTGTGGCTAATGAAAGGTTTGCTCTTTTGCCTTGTCAAGGAAACCAGCTGCATCATTATCACCCGGAGCTGGGTAAAAATGCAGAATCTCAGGCCCTGCCAAGCATACAGAATCAGAATGTGCATTTTAATAAGATCTGCAAGGAATCTCTCTCTCTTTCTCTCTCTCTGTCACACATACCCATAGACACACACACACATACACACGGAGGTTTGATAAGTGTCTACATCCTATTTCCCCATACTATGAATGCTTACATTCACGGACTTTCCCTTTGCAAGAAAAGAAAAGATCCAAAATGAATGTATATGTATATTTCGAATGTCATTCATTTCAAGCTTATTCTTAGCTTATTTAAATATTCAACAATGCTAATGATTCCTTAAACCTGAAAGGAATGAGTGATAGCAAGGAGAAAGAGGGATAATAGAGGATACAAGACTCTACATCAAGGTAGTGCATTATCTATGTTTCATTAGTGGTTTAACCAAGGTTTCATAAGCATGTGTAACAAGGGAGCCCTGACACATTCTTGACTAGAAAGCATTATGGAGAAATGGGGGGAAAAAGTGTTGATGGTATTCCTCAAAGAAGAGAATGAGTTCCAAGGGCAGGAGTCATCAAGGATATGCTCAGTTGGGGGAGAGGCACAGGCAAAATACAGATTAGAAAATGCAATGTGTATTCAGATAATAATGTTTCCAATTGAATGGGATGTCAGGGAAATGATGGCAAAGATGGCTAAAAAGGAGCCTGAGGACAAATTGTAAGATGATGTGCCAGTTATGTTAAGATTGAAAAGGTAGGATTTTATGCAGGAAATAAATATGGAGAAAGTGAAGATGATTTAGGAAGATTCACTGTGGGAAGAGGAGCATTACACATTGAATTTCACTAGCAAGGCAAATACTGGAAGTATTGAATAACTGGGGTTGGAAAAAATAGAAAGCAGGTATTGGTTGGGTGCCAGTGGCTCACACCTGTAATCTTTACTCAAGAAGATGAGATCCGCAGATCCCAGCTCGAAGCTAGCATGGACAGAAAAAAAAATCAAGCAATTTTTATCTCCAATTAACGGCATAAAACAGAAGTAGAGGTATGGCTCAAATGGTAGAGCATCAGACCTGAGCAAGAGCTTAAAGCCCCAAGTTCAAGCCTCAGTACTGACATGCAAAAAAAAAAAAATTGCAAGGGAGGAGAAAGCCTATATATTGTCAACAAAGTTCTGGTTAAGCTCTTTTCTTCTTTTATTAAAATTAACAAAAATCATCACAATCTCTTACCTGGACGAAGAGTACAGTTATAGGCAGGTGTATAGAGAACTCTTCCTGGCTTATTAATATAAAACATCGCTTTGCATTGGCCATAAACCTGGAACCAACAAATACATTTTATGATATTGTAGATGGAAACACGAGGTTTTAAAATACACTTCCCTCCAACCTCAAGTGGAATTTGGAGATTTCATTTTAAAGTAATGAGAAACTTCACAAACAAAACAGTGTGTTGACCAGAGAATTGCGGAACCATTTCCCAACAGTTCTTCACCAGGCTCTCTAGCATCCCTCTCTAGTAAGTGTGAACCACTGAGTTCTAGCCACCAGAAGGCAAACAGACCTGGGAAGGAAACTGTGCTACCACTTCCAGGTCCAGCCCATTTTCCTTGTTCTCTCATGCTCTTCCTTTGTCAGTGACTTGATGCTGGTGAGCATGGGGGACTCTGAAAGCCACAAGTTAATGATAGCGTTGTCTGTGCCATGGCATTGAAGAGGGATCTCCAGATCATCCTACAATAAAACCCCTTCTGAACATGAGCTTCTGTTTTGAACTCTACCTGGGTGAGAACTCAACTACTATCATGTCAGAGTCAGTACACTCTTACTCAGAGTTGTCAGTATGAGGCATTTTAGCAAAGAGAGCCAAATTTTTTTTACTTCTAAACACAATCCTGTGCTCATGCCACTCATTTCGTATCCATCCATGGAAATAATTCCAGGATAGTTCAAAATCAAATGGAAACGGACTATTTTAAGATTTTTTTTTTTTTTGGGTCCAGTTGTGGGGCCTGAACTGTGGGCCTGGGCGCTGTCCCTCAGCTCTTCAGCTCAAGGCTAGTGCTCTACCACTTGAACCACAGCGCCACTTCCGGCTTTTTTCTTATGTGGTGCTGAGGAATCAAACCCAGGGCCTCATGCATTGCAAGGCAAGCGCTCTACCACTGAGCCACTTTCCCAGCCCCTATTTTAAGATTCTTCAATGTCACCATTGGAAGGGTCGATTCTGAGTGCTCTAGGTTCCATGATTCCAGGAAAGCTATCCATGGCGTCTCTGAGAGACCACTCCCATGGTAAACCATCCCTTTTCCTCTTCTCCAACCTCATTATTAATGTTTATTAAACAAAACAAAATGAGTTTAAAATCTCTCCCTCTCCCTCCCTCTTCGTCCCTCTCTCTCCTGATGTTGACCTTAATCCCACATCCAGATTCCTTATCTCAGGTCTTCTCACAACTCAAACACTGGTTCAGAGCCCACAGGAGGTAGAAGACAATCTGGGGGACAGCTTTTATACTCTGCACAGTATTACGCTAATTTGACTTCTCACAAATTCCTCTGATTAAAGTTGGTTCTGTCTACAGCCTTAGAATAAGCACACCGACACTTTGCCCAGATGATTATAAAGAAGAACATTGAAACTCTTCATCCTATTGAGCCCCTAACAACAAACACTTACCGAGGTATGAAGGGTCCTCACATCACAGTCCTTCCATGCTTTCTTGCTAAGCACATGACAGCCAGTCTCTAACACATCCAGTGTGAGGTAGAACAGAGTTCCAATGTCGTCCTATGAGAAGGATAAACACACCACACTCCACATGAGACAGAAATCCACCAAGAATGGATCCTTTATAAGTTGTAAAAAAAAAGAAAAAAACCTTCACTAGGCGTCAGAGGAGCAGAACTGTTACATTTGTTCCTAGCAACAAGGAGAATATTGTAGCACATTCTGGCAGAGGTAGACAGAACAAGTTTAGCAGGGTTTCCAACTTGGTAAGCATCTGCCAACTTGTATTTCTTGGTTCCCACTCCATGACTAGACACTAAAGCCTGCTCAATGCCTGCCATAGAAATGGGGGAGGGAGGCTATTATTTACCTGATACTCTTCCCAAACATCATGCACTCGGTTGAGGCTCAGCACATAGCCATCCTTTTGTTCTCTGTTGATGTCCTGCAGGGCAAAGCCTGCAAAGGTCAGCACATTCGAGTCATTGCAGCCCCGGGAAACCAAAGGTGAGGGGTTCTGGGCCTGCTGGGGTAAGGGGTTCAGGAACGGCTGGGGTGGAGACCTAGCCACACAGCATGCAGCCAGGGTGCAGAGCACCAGAGACTGAAGCCATCCCATTCTGTATGGAACAAGATGCAGACTGGTCAGTTTGTGAAACTTCAGGGACCGGCAGTCTTATGGGGCTCTTCAGGTCAGACTTGAGCTGCTTTATGATAGTTATCTGAATGGCTAACTAGGATTTGAAACACTGTGTTCTAACTTGTAACCTTGAATTTGAAATGTGTTTTTTTTTTTTTTTCTGAATCAATACTTTGGATAAGATTTGTCAATCTTCTAACCTTAGACCCTGGGAGAAATTTCATACCCGTGTTCAGGTAAACAAATCTGTTTCCTAACTCTTCCCCCCAAATCAAGGTTCTTAGGAAGTCATCGCTAGATTCTGGCTTGTGTATTCACCTGAGTCAGAACATGGGGACTCTTCTCTTCTTTACTCCTCCGCCCTGCAGCTGGTCTCCTTGGCTACCCTGAATACTGCAGGTAAACACCATCCTAGGTCCCAACAGGGCTGAGGCAGTGAGTCCAGACTCCCCAGCTAACTTCTTGTGTTCCCTGCTCGAGAGCAGGGAATTTGAAGGATTTAAACAGCTTAACCTCCCAGTCACTTGACAGAAGCACAGCTGAGATTGCTAATGCACCTTGAGAATCCGGCTAGAGAATATTCTCCTTAGTCTCATATAGGTTATTTTAAGTCAAAGACTGTATTTAAGGGTGAGAAAAAGCTAAGAAGATATCAAATGTCCTCCCATTGTACTCCCAAGTTATTCTTTCTTCAGTGGATCTGAATGAAAGTAGATTCATTAAGGGAATTAAACCTACTACTATTGTTAGAGAAAGATAATGAGGGTCAGGTGGATTGGAACACTATCAAAACATTAGTTAGGACTCTTTCTCAGGTCCTGTATGGAGTTCAGAAAGGTTCTATTTATTGGGACGATTTAAAATACATCTTTGGGGGCTGGGAAGGTGGCTCAGTGGTAGAGCACTTGCCTTGCATGCCTGAGGCCCTGGGTCCAATTCCTCAGCACCACATAAAGAAAAAAGCTGGAAGTGGCGCTATGGCTCAAGTGGTAGAGCGTTAGCCTTGAGCTGAAGAGCTGAGGGACAGCGCCCAGGCCCAGAGTTCAGGCCCCACGACTGGACTCAAAAAAATAAATAAATAAAATTAAAAAAAATAAAATACATCTTTGTTGTTATTTGTGGCATTTTTTGTTTTGTTTTGCATCAGTCCTGGGGCTTGAACTGGAAGCCTGGGTGCTGTCCTCAAGCAATTTTACTCAAGGCTAGTGCTCTACCACTTTGAGCCACAGGGCCACTTCTGGTTTTCTGGTGGTCAAGTGGAGGTAAAAGTCTTAAGGACTTTCTTTCTTGGGCTGGCTTTGAACTGTGATCCTCAGATCTCAGCCCCCTGAGGATTACAGGCATGAGCCACTGGCACCCAGCTGTCCATTTATTGTTTCAGACAGTCTGGCTATATAGCCAGAGCCCGGATTGGCCTTGAATTTGAGATCCTTCTGCTTCAGCCTTCTGAGTGCTGGAATTATGGGGATGAACCACCATGCCTGGCTGAAAGACAAGTGTCTTAATTTTTTTTTCTATTTTACACACACACACACACACACACACACACACACTCACACACACACACACAGTAGTTTGTCACAAAAGATCCAAAATAGGAAGGAAGTCTCTGGATTACATTATCTCAGAAGACATTTTCTGGAACCCTCATCTTTTGTTTTGTTTTGTTTTTGTTTTTTTGGGTCCGGTTGTGGGGCCTGAACTCTGGACCTGGGCGCTGTCCCTCAGCTCTTCAGCTCAAGACTAGCGCTCTACCACTTGAGCCACAGCGCCACTTCTGGCTTTTTTTTTTCTTTTTGCTTATGTGGTACTGAGGAATCGAACCCAGGGCCTCAGGCATGCAAGGCAAGCGCTCTACCACTGAGCCACCTTCCCAGCCCTGGAACCCTCATCTTTAATATACACATCCTCACTCACTTTTACTCCATCCCTGGTCAATGGTTTTGCGTTCAAATAAATTTAGGACCAACTTCATCCATATATTCTGAGTCTTATAGAGCCTCCACTCACAGAGTATGTTAAAGACTCTGAAGCTTTGGGATGAAGAAAAATATCTAAGCCACATTTCTCTCACTAGACTGTCAGAGAGCTGCTTTTTGTGTGTGTGTGTGTGTGTGTGTGTGTGTGTGTGTGTGTCCGGTCGTGGGGTCTGAACTCTGAGCTTGGGTGCTGTCCCTCAGCTCTTCAGCTCAAGACTAGCGCTCTACCACTTGAGCCACAGTGCCACTTCCGGTTTTTTTTCTGCTTATGTGGTGCTGAGGAATCGAACCCAGGGCCTCATGCATGCAAAGCAAGCACTCTACCACTGAGCCACCTTCCCAGCCCATGTCAGAGAGCTTTTTGTGGTGATGTTTATTGTTAATCCATAGATACATCTTCAGGAAATCTGAACTAGTACATAAAGATAGCTAGGTTTGAGAGTTTTGTGATGAGCAACTGGTCATAGGGACAGAAGACTTTGAATAGAAATGGAGATATTCCAAATGGATTGAACAAAATGTCCCTCTGGCTTAAACACAAATCCAGGGTGTGGTAAGCTATAGTTGATAACTACACTTAAACAAGGCATTTAATATTTCTGAAGTATTCATGTTCACTTAAAACTTTGATTTCATGTTAAATTTAAATATGATTTATATTGTTGGCTAATATTACCATGACTATTACCATGATAAAATTTAATTTTTATTACAATTATTTTTATTTCCACTTGATAGCCATGCTCATAGACAACTAAGTCAGAGTATTTGAGTCACTAGATGATACCACATAGATCCATTGAAAGCTACTCTTATTTTTGTTCCCCTATTGGGGCTTGACCTCAGAGCTTCATGCTCTGTTTGGCTTTTATACTCAAGGAGAGTGTTCTACCACTTGAGCTACACCTCCAGTTCATGCTTTTGGCTGTTCAATTGGAGATAATAGACTGTTATATTTGTCTGAGTTGGCTTTGAACCAGGATCCTCAGATCTCAGCATCCTGAGTAGCTAGGATTACAGAAGTGAGCTACTGGCTTCCAGCTGAAAACTACTCTTTAAGATAACTGAATAAATTCACGGGCTGGAAAGGTGGCTCAGTGGTAGAGCGCTTGCCTTGCATGCATGAGGCCCTGGGTTTGATTCCTCAGCACCACATAAGCAGAAAACACCAGAAGTGGCTCTGTGGCTCAAGTGCTAGCCTTGAGCTGAAGAGCTGAGGGACAGCACCCAGGCCTAGAGTTCAGGCCCACGACTGGACCCCCCTCCAAAAAAAAGATATCTTAATAAATTCAATCAACATACTTCCCAAGTGAGGAAATGTTAGGAAGACTGAGTGAGCTTCCATAAGGTAGAGTGCTTGATGGAGAATTCTAAGTAAATTAGTGGTAGAACCCACAGGAGACTTCTCATTTAGAATTCAGCTAGCAACAAGTCAACTGAATGAACTTGGGAAGCTCTTTAACTGCTGTAAACCTCAGTAGCCAAATCTGGCACATGGGCTAATTATATAACCTACTTCAGAAATTATCCATGTGGAAGGCTAAAGTAATGCTTGACACACAGTGCTTATATGTGATCATGACAGATACCTGAAACTCAATAAGCATTAATTGACTACTCTACAATGCCAAGAACTGAGTTAGGTTCTCCAGAATCAAAGGCTAATGAGCTTGACATGGTTTGGCTATGTTCCCCAAAGTTCACATGTCAGAAATAGTGCTGAGAGGTAGAAGTAATTAGGCAATGGGGCTCTGACCTCACAAATGGATTAAAGTTATTATCACAAGAGTAGTTTCGTTATAAAAGTGTATTTGTGCCAGGCACTGGTGGCTCATACCTGTAAGCCTAGCTACTCAGGAGCCTGAGATCTGCGGATCATGGTTCAAAGCCAGGCTGGGAAGGAAAGTCCATGAGACTCTTCAATAAACCACCAGAAAACTAGAAGTGGTGCTGTGGCTCAAGTGGTAGAGTGCTCGCATTGAGCTGAAGAGCTGAGAGACACTGCCCAGGCCGAGTTCAAACTCCATGACCAAAAAAAAAAAAAGTGCATTTGGCTTCCTCTTGCTCTGCTTCTCTTGCCCCCTCTCCCTTTAGGCCACTGAATGGCATAGCAAGAAAGGCCTTGCTTCGGGCTGGGAAGGTGGCTCAGTGGTAGAGTGCTTGCCTTGCATGCCTGAGGCCCTGGGTTTGATTCCCCAGCACCACATAAGCAAAAAGCAAAAAGCTGGAAGTGGCACTATGGCTCAAGTGGTAGAGCACTAGCCTTGAGCTGAAGAGCTGAGGGACAGCGCCCAGGCCCAGAGTTCAGGCCCCACGATCGGAAAAAAAAAAAGAAAGGCCTTGCTTCCCAATCTCTACTTCATGATAGAGAAGTTTCTGTTCTTTACAAGTCAGTAGGTATTCTATTACAGAAGCACAACATGGCCAAAAGATTATTAAGACTAAGAAGTGGAGATATGGCTCAAATGATAGAGGATGAGTAATGAGTGAAAGTATGAGACTTTGTGTTTGAGCCCCAGTACCAGCACATCTATCCCCCTTAACACACCAAACACACACACACACACACACACACACACACACACACACACACACACACACACACACACACACAAGATTAATCCTGATTTCTAGAAATTAATAAGTAGTTTGTGAGGATTGATTATAAACTCAAATCCAAAGACTTTAGTTCTTGAGGTTGGCTGTAGGTATTGGTTCTAAATGAGAAAAATATGAGGAATTGGCTATAGAAACCAGAAGTGGGTAAACATTAAAAAAAAATCAAATTGAGAGGCCATTGGATTTGTGGGGGTTCTGGCACTTTAAATTCCTACACAAACAAATCAGAGCTCAATGTAACAAGTACATTGAAACTAGAAACTACCAACAAACCTCCAGCTAGGAACTTTCCACATCAGCTAATCAAAGTTTTTGGGAACCATTGTAGTCATTGCCAAACCTGGGGACTTGGAAAAGATTTGGCTTCACACAGCGAGTGAATACACATTTATTGA